GGAAGAGGTGAGGCAGTAATAAGGTGATGCCTTCATTGTACATGTGTTCCGGAACAACTCGTGCCCACGAAGAGTTAATTGCACAGAAGTACCACAATTGGGGCATCACATGCAGATTGATACTAATGATTGCTAATTTTTGCGTGTCAGTACCAAGATTGCTCCAGGTTTTTGCAAATAGGTCTAAATTGCGTATAAACACGTATTGACGGTGTATCTGACCAGCGGGGCCCGCCCGTCAGATGCCGACGTGGCACGTTTTTTGCAGAAAACCCCCTTACGTTGTATGTAATCACAAAAATGCCATATTTTTTTTGCGGGAAAAAGGCTTTCTTTTTTGTTCACAATTTTCACCACCAAATCTGGACTGGTTTGAATTTTTCCGCCACTTGAACAAATAAATACAAGTACAGAAAAATCAGGCGCGGCGGGAATCGATCCTGCGACCTGCAGCCCACAGGCGCCACGCGCTAACCACCACGCCACATTGCAGTTCGCCTTTGATTACAGGCGTTCCCGATTAATACAATTCTAGCATGAATAATAAACATTTATCATGAAATAAAGAAATATAAAATAACAACTTTATTATTGCCTCTATGGCATATTTCCTTCAATGCAGAGGTCGATTATTCGTTTAGGGTGATTATACCACCTCAATATGTCGTACAACTACGACACGACTTGACTTGTGCAGTGATGGCTAAGAAGAACTACAAAAAGATCAGCATAACAATCATCACAAAAGAGGACCCAAAACAATAAAAAGACTAGAGAGCAACGACCCATGAACGAAAAAAACAAAACTAGGCCAGATTGAGGAGGTAACGTGTACCAAGGCAAGGATGTCGGCGCCAACCGACCAACCTGCCCGACTGAGCTCACTCACCCAATGTGCATATTCTTAGTTTAAGGGTCGGTCATCGGTTTATGTATGCTACATGTTACCATGGAATATGGTTAGCAACAACGTTGGCATACCAATTTAAACCTATAAATCCGCTGAAGGTGTTGGTTGCAGAGGGAAACAGACTCCTGCAGAAGAGATCGCCTCCTCCCTGACAAAAGCGATGAGGCAACCCCTAAAGCGACGCACTGTGAGCTGCCCAGCTAGCTCTGTCCCAGGACCACAACATGGTGATGCTCTATCCTGGTTGCATGTATTCAAAAGTGAGTGAGAGAAAAAAGTATGATGATGATATCCAGAGACTAGCCTTCGTTGAGTGATTGTGACACATCATAGCTCCATTCAAATTTATCTAGGTGGAAGAGGTGAGGCAGTAATAAGGTGATGCCTTCATTGTACATGTGTTCCGGAACAACTCGTGCCCACGAAGAGTTAATTGCACAGAAGTACCACAATTGGGGCATCACATGCAGATTGATACTAATGATTGCTAATTTTTGCGTGTCAGTACCAAGATTGCTCCAGGTTTTTGCAAATAGGTCTAAATTGCGTATAAACACGTATTGACGGTGTATCTGACCAGCGGGGCCCGCCCGTCAGATGCCGACGTGGCACGTTTTTTGCAGAAAACCCCCTTACGTTGTATGTAATCACAAAAATGCCATATTTTTTTTGCAGGAAAAAGGCTTTCTTTTTTGTTCACAATTTTCACCACCAAATCTGGACTGGTTTGAATTTTTCCGCCACTTGAACAAATAAATACAAGTACAGAAAAATCAGGCGCGGCGGGAATCGATCCTGCGACCTGCAGCCCACAGGCGCCACGCGCTAACCACCACGCCACATTGCAGTTCGCCTTTGATTACAGGCGTTCGCTTTGTTATACTATTGCTGAAGCGCTGGGCCGGCTCACCGAGGCCTGCATTTTTTTTTTCCGTTTCGCACTTAACTGGCGCGCGTGTTCCAGGTAATGCCCACCGAAGTGAAAAATATTACAGGTACATTCATCACTCCAACTACAAAATTAACATGTCATTCTTACATGATGTTAGAAAATATATATGTGCCTACACATAAACAACAAGAAGAAATCTACAGCCAATTTCTCATGGCTGTGGCATCTTCCGCTGACAGTAACTCTACACAACAGCCTGCTAAGGTTGATTCTTGCAAAAAAAAAAAAAACCGTAAGTCTTGCATCATTCATAAAAAAATATATGGTCAATTTCCTTTATAAATGTTGTGCTTAAAAATACCTTAGTTAAGTCCATCAACCGTGAGTTGTGTTTTACAAACATACTTAGGAAAATGCCCTTCGGTGTGGCACTCTACAAGGTTACCTCCTTCTTTATCATTGGTTTTTCTATTTTCAGTCCTATGGCCTGTATTTTTGTAGTGAGAGCGTCTTTTACGCTTAGTTACCAAACTTATCAATTAGCATGCCTATTTCTCTGCATTGGACAACCTTTCTTATAACTGTAAAGAATATAGTTTGAGGACAATCTGCCAATACTTCTATCTTGCATATAAAATAATTAGGCAATTCTGCATTGTCCTAAATTTCCCTGAACTGAAAAAAGAACTGATCTACTTCCTACCTGTGCTACTAAACGTAAAACTTAAAAACCTTTTACTGGCATTTTGTTGGTACTTTCCAGTTCCCATAATGAACTTGGTTTCTGTTTACACACATGTACTGCTACATTATCCTATACATGTCTGAACTAAGTGAGAGGATATTGACATTTTGTCTCCCCGCCAGTTAGGATGGAAGCTTATAGGCTTCGATAATTTCTTAATCTTTCACTGGTTCTCACCAGTGAGATTGCAGATGTGGTATATTCTTAATCCAATAACATATACAAAGGCTGTGTAGGTAATGGCATAGCAGATTTTAATTTCATGATAATACTTAAATGTAGTCCTCGCGGTAGATAGCTTGACACTATCCGTCATGTGGGTCCTTGCTTCCTTATGTTTTGCAGGTCCAGTTGTCGTTGCCTTCACTTGCTTTGTCGTTTACCGATCTGTTAGCTCGCCGGTTCCCCGACTTGCTGTCAAGGTTTGTGTTTTGTGCCTCCGTTTTCTGTTTTCTTTCTTTTTGTTTCTCTATATTACTTACTATTTTATTCTGCTACCTGACCAGGTGTTCCGTGTGTGCTTTAGTTGTTTGTTTCGGTTTTTTATGCTGCTTATTTCATCTATACTACTTCCTATGCTAGGATGTGCCTTGCTATGTCTTTTGTGATCCCAATTTTTGAGAACCTGGCGGCGCAGTTTTTTTTGCCCGCTCTTTCATGCATGTGTGAGATTATTGACGATGGGGTTGTGCTCGTTGGGGTGGAGCCAAACCAGTGTCTCCCTGCCGCCAGATAGGAGGTTCTTCTGGGCAACTGGCGGTACGGGGGCACTGTCGGCCTATGAACAGGCTGCTTTGCAGGCTATAAAATTCTTACAGGGACGATGTAAAGCATGTTCCTGTTGATTAGGACGATTCATATACAACTTGGGTCTACATTTTTACTAGCCTGATTAGGGGAGAGAGGGAGGCAGGGAGGTGCCTAGGACGAGTAGGAAGGCTCTGGGAATTTTTTTGCCGATCCTGTGTATGTTCTGTTTTGCCAAGTTAAACGTGTACACTTCATGTCATATAGTAGCATAATAATTGCAGATGATATACTATCGTTGTCATATTATTGAACTTGATATCCTGTTTGAACTAGACAAATAATTTTGACAAGATTTTATCCTGGCGTAAACATGCTGTCATAGTGTCAACATAATAATAGTTTCAAAATTCAACATTATACTCCCTCCGTCCGAAAATACTTGTCATCAAAATGGATAAAAAGAGATGTATCTAAAACTAAAATACATCTAGATACATCCCCTTTTATCCATTTTAATGACATGTATTTCGGGACGGAGGGAGTAGAATATAAAACTAGACAAAGTTATCTCCTTGAAATTATCACATTTCCCTATCCTCAGCTCCTCGCCATGGTAGCTGTTGTAAGTTCTAATCTCATGTTGAACCCATGGTTCACAACTTTTCTTCTCTTTTTTCTTAGAAACTTAAACGGTGATACTCTTTGTTGTAATTTAAAAAGGATGGAAAGGTTGAAAAATTCTATTTTGAGGAATGACGACACCAATTTATGAGTGGAACTATTTGTTGTATGCTTACAATTAAATATCATATTAGATATTTGTTTTTCTTGGAACTATTGACATGTAGTGGAGGCTGCATTTGATTTGCTGGTGTGTTAAGCACATAAATAATTGGTTTCGCCTTTTTCACAAACCAAGCTTAGGCACATAACTAACTTTAGTGTATCCCTCAATGCACATGCATGGGTCACTCTCTATCCTTTTTAACGTAGATAAGTATGGCAATTATACTTGAGGTTGCGGCTCTGCTGCAGATATGCCCATTGCCATTGAGCCTTTCTATCTACTCCCTCTGTTCCGAAATAGTTGTCGTTGGGGAAAACTAGTGTACCGATCGTCACGTTGCGATTTTTCTTCACTTTCCCATTTTGCCCTCCCTCTCGCTCTCTCGCCGACCGCTTGCAGCTCTCACTCTCTCCCTGACCACTCGCTCTCTCTCCCCGACAGCTCTCGCTGTCTCCGACCCCGACCGCTCGCCCTCTCGTCGGCCAGTCGCTCGCCGGCCAGTCGCCACCCTCTCCCTCTCGTCGGTGTCTTCCTCACCGCAGTCTTGCACCTCACCACCCATAACCCTAGCAGCCCGCCTCCCTCTCGTCGGTGAAAGGTGACATTTTTACCAGTTGGGGTGCTCGATTCGTGGCGGCGGTGCTCGATCCGTGGGCGGCGGTACTCGATCCGTGCTGGAGCAGCGGGAGGAGGAGGCCAAGGTGGAGATCGTGGTGCGGGAGGGGGAGCTCGGCGAGACGGCGGCTGGATCTGAAGCGCGGCTGCTCCACCTTCCTCAGGGTGGCGGGGATCTCCGACTCGCTGCAGAGGAGAAGGGCCCGACCGCTGGCGTCATCCGCCGCTTCCTCAGGGTTGGCGGCGGCGGGCTGTGTTCCGGCGGGAGGGCGGCACGTTCAAGGTGCTGCAGGTGGCGGACATGCACTACGCGGACGGGCGGAGCACCGCGTGCGAGGACGTGATGCCCGAGCAGGTCGCCGGCTGCTCCGACCTCAACATCACCGCCTTCCTCTACCGCGTCATCCGCACCGAGGACCCCGACCTCGTCATCTTCACGGGTCCGGCCCCCACCCACCCCCTTCCTCTTCCCTGCTCTGTTATTCTGTTAATACTTCGATTGACTAGTGATTCGTTGGTGCCGCCACTTCTTCCGATTTCGAGTTAAGAATTCAGAAGTGCCATGCAATGGTGGAGTAATCCCCAAAGAAATAAGAAATCAGAAGCATGAGCTGCACTGAAATTGGGTCTAGGTAGTTGCTCATCCGCCGGGGTTTCAGTTAATCGATTGGTCTGTCCATCCAGGACGAAGATGAAATGGTCTGATTGATCACGACTGCCTCCACATGGAGGTAAAACACAAACAGGAAAGATGCAATAGTAGCCGCCTTTGTGATTATCTTCAGGTTACTGTCCTGTTTTCGTCGTCTTGTTTCACGGGCGATCTTGGTGATCTTTCCAAGGCTGATCAATTTCTTCAGAGAAGACGTCCTGGTCAATCACCACATCTGATCAATTTCTGTCTGTGGCGAGAAGAAGTGGTACAACTCCGGCGATCAATTTCTTTGGCGATTAACAGTTTTGATCAATTCAAACAGCAGCACAGGCGGCGCACGGGCGGGGAGGAGCACAGGCTGCTGCTGTTGGTCAGTGCGGGAAGGAGCACGGGCAGAGGTCAATTGGCCGGATCCGGAGCTCCAATGCCTGAATCGAGGAGCTGGAAGGCTGAGGCAGGAGGAGGAGCACAGGCTGCGATGCTGCTGCTGTTGGTCAGTGCGGGGAGGAGCACGGACGGAGGTCAATTGGCCGGATCCGGAGCTCCAGTGCCTGAATCGAGGAGCTGGAAGGCTCAGGCAGGAGGAGGAGCACGGGCGGCGCTGCTGCTGGTCGGTGCAGGGAGGAGCACGGGTGGCGCGGAGGCCAGGAGTCGCGGGCGGCTGGAGGCTGTGGCGGACGGCGAGGGAGTTGCGTATGAGTTTGGGCTCTCAATTGGAGCGGAGGAAGGCGGCCGGCGAGGGAGCTGCGGGCGGATGCCGGAGCTGCAGCAGTGGGGTGGAGCCTGGCGGAGGGGAGGAGCGATGGAGGAAGACGAAGATCCCCGGCGACAAGAATTTCAAATTGAGGGTAGTTTGGTACTTTTTCCTGTTTTCACCTGGTCGGAGAAGTTCCCCAACGACAACTATTTTGGAACAGAGGGAGTATATGTTTCTATAGAGTACTTCGTTTTTGTACTATACGCTTGACAAAATGATTTCCTTATAAGCTGCGATAAGGTGTTTGTAGTTGGTATTTGTACTACAAGCTCAATTTTGTGGTTCATCTCATCTCTGGTTATTTTTTTTATTTATGTAGCATATTATCATTAGCTTATAACTTTGGCAGAGAAGACTATGTTATAACACTAAGATTATCAGGAAAAGATTCAGAGCTTTTGCTGAACCCAGATTGCCACACACATGATGCAAAATTAACAACCAAGACTTTGAAATATGGATGACGGTGTTTATTATGTGCTAGAAATCAAATATGAAAAGGAGAAGATAATGTTTGCGGAAGTGTGTATACTGAACAAGCATCCTGATTGATGTGTTTTTCTGTTATTCCTTGATGTGCTCTCATGCAGCTGTGTCCATATATACTGATTGTTATACTTGTTGTGTGAGTTGCAGGAGAGGGGAGAGACATATGGGTTGGGATTCTTGGTAAACTTTACTTAATTTATTGCAGAAAATGCTCGATAGATCTCATTTATGGATGAGGTTGTGGCAGTAGTTCTCGGGTGTAGTCTCTATCTTGATAAAGCCTTCTATCAGGGCGCATTAGAGGCTGAAGAATAGAAAACATTTGGGGTTTCTGTGGCGTTGAACATTCAGCTTATGTACTACTCCCTCCATTCCTAAATACTTGTCTTTCTAGAGATTTTAACAAGTGACTACATACGGCGCAAAATGAGTGAATCTACACTTTAAAATATGTCTACATACATCCGTATGTTGAGTCCATTTGAAATGCCTAGAAAGACAAGTATTTGGGAACGGAGAGAGTATGTACATGCACGGCCATGCACGACCAGTTCAGTAACTATGGCCTTTTCTACTGTACTGGTTCTGCTACTTTTCACATGCTAACTTCTTTGAAAAGCGCCAACAGTGTGTGCCACATGTAAATAGTCCATGTTACAAAGAACAGAACCAGAAGTGTGGGGATGATGTATCAATGGTCGGTCAGGGAATTCAGTCTCGATGAGCTTATCTAATGACATATGTGAGTTGAGCCTGAGGTCATTTTCAAAGTAACAGAAGTATTTTACTTTCCTTTTCATGTGGGTGGTCGACGGAACATATATGTTTTATCAGATTATGAGAGGACAACAATCATATAAAAGTTATGAACAATCAAAACACTTCTATGAAGCATGTAGTAGACAAATAGTGCTATTGACAGTGGATTTTTTTCGAAAGCACAAATGGTGTTCAGTGGGTCTCTGATGGCGCAACAAGAGATTACTCTCAACGCGACGTGGTCTTCAATGGGATTCTATACTACCAAATTAAAATGTTTACGTACCTGCTTGCCCACAACTAACTAAAATCCATCTCTAATGCAGACCAACATGTGGTTGGATGGTTAGAGGGACTATTGTATCCCTAACCCATCAGAATTTAAGTCCTGGTGCTCGCATTTATTTTAGGATTTCTGGCGATGCGCATTCAGTGAGAGGAGACGTTCCCATCGACGACGAGGTGGCTACGATGACTTTGTAAATTTCAAGATGATATGCCGGTTCTTTTGGAGGTGCTCATGGGGTAGAGTGTGAGTGTGTGCGTTCATAGGGGTAAGTGTATGTGCGTATATATGAGCGCTTGCGTTTGTACTGTGTTAAAAAAATTCATCTATAATGGCGCAACAGGAAATTACTTGAAAATACACATATTTTCAGGTCGATGTGGTCTTCATTGAGATTGTGTACTACCAAATTAAAATGTGTAGGACCTGCTTGCCCACAACGAAATCAATTAAACCATGTTTTCTTTCCAAAACACATGTGGATTCAAGGGCCACAACTAAACCAACTAAGCATAGGTTTAATTTTATATATAACTTTCGACTACCAAACTACAATGGGTGTATACATCGTTTGTCCTTACTAAAGAAAATTATTTTCATCGTGAACATGGGTTTAGTGGGTCTTCGCGCCATTTGGCGTACGGGTCAACTAGTTTTATAGAAGAAAGACAAAGAAGCCAACAACACTGAAATACAATGCTAGATAGGCATTAGGGCATTTTCAAGGTGGACCCGCAAATCGCCTGCATCCGTTCGGATCGTGCTGTCCGGACCACGGAAGCCATCCAACGCGGGCATATCGGTCTCAATGCGGTCCGGACGTACTTTTTCCGGCAAACTGAGACAAAGTGGGAGAGCTTTTCGATAGTCCGGACAACAGACGCATAGGACTCCGACACCCTCAGCCCACCTAAAACCCTTCCCGGACCCCGTGCCTCCATCCTCCCTATTTCTCTTCTTCCTTCTTTCTCTCTTACCTTCGCCGCCGCTCCACCACCCTGGCCGCCACGCCACACCCTTGCCGGAATTTTACGTCTCTGTGACCTCTGGCGCTCTAGCAAGGCTCCACCCCGCTTCTTCGCCGTTGTCGTTCAACCCCTGTCCCCCGACCGCCCCGCCAGATACCATATGCTACTACTATATTCACCGTGCCCGGCAACAGTTCAATGAATCGCCGGAGCTAAAAACAGTTTTTCCTTCTTCTTTCTAGCAATGGATTGCGAGTTGGAGTACATATACGAGCAATTTGTTGAGTCATCTGACAGCTCGTCGGATGAGGAGGAGTACTCAGATGAGACGGCGATAATGCAGGCGGTCCTTGAAGTTGCAGAGCGTGCGGAGGAGCATGTTCTCAATTTCAAGGGCTCGATCAAGGGTCATCCAGTGCTCAACCGCAACAGGGCTTCCAACCATTTGACACTGATGGTTGACTACTTCGCCCCTGATGCACTCTTCGCTGACCATTTTCGCCAGCGTAATCGGATGCGCAAGACTGTCTTCGATCGTTTGTGCCATGGGCGTTTGGTCCTATGATGACTACTTCATCCTGAAGAAGGACGCCGTGGGAACGATTGGATTCTCTGGTTACCAGAAGTGCACGACCGCACTCCGGATGCTTGCATATGGCACGCTCGCTAATTCGTGGGACGAGTACCTATGGATGTCTGAGAGCACATGCGGAGATGCCATGGTCATGTTTGCAACTGCCGTGGTCAAGGTGTTCAGACCTCAATACCTGAGAGAACCAACTGTGGCGGACACCAAGAGGCTCTTGGCAATCTCAGAAGCAAGAGGGTGGTCAGGTTTGCTTGGATCTCTTGATTGCATGCATTGGAAATGGAAGAACTGCTTGAAGGCTTTACAAGGGGAATATCAGGGTCATGTTAAGATGCCCACCATAATTCTTGAAGCAGTTGCATCATAATATATTTGGATTTGGCACGCATTCTCTGGCATGCCTGGCTCTCACAACGACATCAATGTGCTGCAACGATCACCATTGCTTGCGAGGCTAACCGAAGGAAAAGCTCCTCCTTACCACTATACCGTCAGTAGACATGAGTACAACATGGGCTACTATCTGGTTGACGGTACCTTCCTCCATGGGCTACCTTTGTCAGCCCCATGTCTAACCTAGTTGGCCAAAAAAGGCTCACTTTGCCCAAAGACAAGAAGCAACTAGAAAGGATGTCGAGGGGGCATTTGGAGTTCTGCAGGTCTGTTTTGCAGTTGTTCATGGACCTGCTAAACAATGGGATCTGGAGACCTTGTGGGAGGTGATGACATGTTGTGTGATCATGCACAACATGATCGTCGAGGATGAGGGTGACGATGCTGCCGCAACTCTAAAATTTGAGAACATGGGTGATCCTATCCAACTTTCAGACCAAAATCCGCTCACATTTTAAGAGTTTATTCAAATGCATCATCAAATTTGGTATCGACCAACTCACGAGCAACCGAAGGAAGAACCGATTGAACATCAGTGGGCGGTTAAAGGGGAAAACAATATTGGGATGTAATATTTGAACTTTCTAAAATTTGAACTACTGCCGCATGCGGCTATTTGAACGTTTGTACCCTATGAATGTAGTCATTTGA